TCTCAGTCAACAGCTACAACTCCCTGTTTTTTTTCAGCACTTACTTTCTTCTTCTCCCATCCTCCATTGAAATATTTTTGCTTAGAGAAGTATCCTACCTTCTTCCTTAGCAGCCTCTCCTGGACACAATAATGTTTTCTGTCAAAAGGTCTCAATGTGATTTACAAATAATGGAACTTGTCCATCAATGATGTTCTCTCCTTCCTGTAACACAAGTAAATAGTAACAACCTACTGTGTTTTAGAGAGGGGACAACTGACATGCTGCAACTGCAGCATCCTTTTACAGAAGATCCATCCAGATTCACATAAGACATTCTTCTGGGAAGGCAAAAAATGCAAATTGAGAAACTGTCCTTCTGTCAAAGGTCTACTTGGCATCTCATGCCTTGGACATGCAGGAAGCAACGCTTCATCATGCAGCTTGCAGCTCAAGATTGAAAGCAGAGCAGGACATTTGGCAAGGTGGACATAAAAATGGTGTAGGACTACTTCTCTCTCTTTTTGCTCCTTGGCCACCATGCACACAGACACTTCTCAAGTGTGATTTACAGCAGCCTGGTCATGATCTCACTTAATTGTATGGCTAACAGCTCCAAAATAGGACCCTGTGATCAAAATGTCCGGAAACATGAGGTCATGACATCAAAAGGCCAGTTCCGTAGTGAAAGTATGGCTTTCAGGTGCGGCTGACTTCAAAGCTCAGCAGTAAAACAAAGAAGAAATATATATTTGGGGACCTTCATGGAAGGCATTTGCTGTTCCTCAGAGGTAACAAATCAGCTAGTGATTACAAAAAAAAAATATTTCCAGCTTGTGAATGTAGTAAGTTTCAGGAAATAAGATATTATTTTTGCCACAGAAGTTCTAATTTAACTGGGAATGTCATTGCTGAGCTCTGCAATAACCTGCAGGAAACTGCATGGACCCACAGCAGTAGCGAATGGCTGACTCTCCCAGGAAAGGTTTTGTTATCCTTGTATTGCTTGACTTTTTTACACCACATCTGCGCTTGCTTCGTCATTCTGCCATCTGCTGTAACAAAATACAGGCAAAGCATTTCAGCAAACAACCCCTCCACACTTTAAAATGCTCCAACCCGGAGCACAGCCCTTGATTTCTCACAAGCTGTAGTGCTTATTATCCTCTTCTCCTCCTCCTCCTCCTCCTCCTCCTCCTCACCCCCACCACATGCATGATGAATTACATACACGTACCAAGCGTGGAGAACACAGAATCCCATTGATTTTGCCACAATGTTTCTATTAAATGAAATGGATGGTTATGCACTTTACTTCGCTGCACAAATGCGTTCGCTGAAAGGTCAGAAATAGCAGGTCATTATCCTTAAATTTTTAATTTTGGGACCCCCAATCAGACTTGTTTCCTGTTTGGTATTGTCTGCAGATACACAATGTACAGCCGAGCGAGAGACTCTGATTGCTAAAGCATTGAAATTACGGAGTATGAGCAGAGCGGTTTCGAGCACGCACTCTGTAGAGTCCAGTCAAAGTTTCCTCCTGGTGCAGCCGCACAAATCTCTTGGTAGCAGTAAACTCGCTGCACAGACTTCATTCCTGAACACATGTTCAAAGGTGATAAAATAAATGCAGATGGTTTCCCAAAACCTCAGTGGAACATTTTTTACTGTTACTAAATGGACTGTAAAAAAAAAAAAAAAAAAACAGGGAAAAAATGGAGAAAATACAGTTTGACACAGACAGGCAATTTTCAGAATAGCATTCAGTCGTTTGGGAGAAAAGCTAAATGAAATATGTGTTTATAATGATCTATTGGCAAAACAATATTGACAGAGCATCTGAGCTGCCTGATGGGAGTGAGTTTTAGAATACTGAAATCGACATAGGGTTGCAAGCTGAGTATTTTGCTTAATTACTCAACACACATAGAAAAGAGTTGCATAGGAACTTTGAATTAATTGCGCCATGACCAAAGTTGACAATAAAACCATCCCCGGCTACAGTGAAAACAGGATTAGGCCTTAACAAATTTATTACAGGCTTTGTTTACAAACTCGTTACAAAATTATACAGCATCTTTTGTGTACACAGGATTTACAAGAACGCGTAACTGATGTGTGCAATTGCTCCGCTCTCTGGTTGAGATCTGCAGGTTTTTCTTCGCTCAGGGCCTCATCCAGCTTCCACTGGAGAAGGTGAGAATTTTTCCATTGACTTTAGTGGAAACTGGATCAGATCCAGAGGGTAACACTTCCGTTCATTGTTATACAGGGGTGGGAAAGAGGCAGCCTATCTAATAACCTTATGCACCATGCTTCTTTCTCATTTAATGTGTTTCATATGACAGGCGTTGTATTTACTCTGATACGCTTTTGCTGGCCGTTTGTAAAATACTTGGTGCATTGATAAAGTTAAGAGTCAAAGACCAGTTCCTGTTACTGGATTTGCAGCAGAAAATGACAAATTGTTTTCTTTGAACCTGTAAGGAATGAACCTCCTACGATTTTCAGTGAGCAGAAATAAAGGCATTAAGATCAATTCTGATGTTGTTTACACCGCTATAAACCTACATTTTCTCGCCTGTCTTCAATAGAATTTTGCTGGATTTACATGGATGTAAACAAGCATGGCATCCACACCGTAGGAATAAGGCAGTTTGCAATGAATGGGATGTTGGGTTTGTGAGCATCAGTGACTAACCAAGCTCGGTTAGTTTTCTTGCTTCCTCTTCTCATATGGAGATAAACCTATCTGGCATACTGAAGCATGGAGATCTCTAAAGTTAATGATCCATGACAATATCTGCTCTCGATTACTCACAGCATCTGAAAATAATCTTTCTTTGGGAATTCAGGGTGTAAAATTAGGTTTTTAACTTGTAAAAATTTTCAGTGGGACAGGACTCTGAAAAATATGCTTGTCTTTCCAAGTGGAAAAATTAATGGGTAGGGGTTATTTTTTTCCCTGCTGAAACATACGCTTTCTTACTAGTAAAACTAGAAAAAGTTCTGTTGAGGATTTTTTTTTTTTAATAAATGTTTGCGAAGGAAGGAGAATGTGGGAAAATTTCTAGTTAGATCTATCAGCTAGTGAGCTCCTTGTTATATTACGTGTTCTCTTTCCTTTTAACGATTGTCTTAGTATCAAAGTTATTATTGCTTGAAGTGAAGTTAGAGTTTAGTCCTGTGAGGTGATGATATTTCCTGTGAGGTAAATACCCTGGCCTCATGTTGAAAATTAAGATGGTTCTCAAAACCTTCGTTTATGGCCTCCCCTGCAGAATTATACCTACATGCTCCAACCTAGCTTTCAGAGTCACAGCTACTCCAGTGCTTGGCCTCATGAGCAAGCTGTGCGTTTCTCTGGTGGGTTTATGATGTGTAATGCTCTCTGTAAGGGATTAGGGAGACCACACAATTTGCTGTCTTTGACGACCTGCTGCAGATTTGATGTTGGTTCTCCAGTAGTGAGAACTCTATGAACAAAGGCATCCTGCAACCTTGGTTTAGAGTGCTCTGATCTCATTCTCATTTGTGATGCTGAACACGCTACAACAGTGAAAGCTGTACTGTAAAAACCTAAGACCACTACAGCTGTAATGCTTTTTGAATGGCTGGCATTTTTCAGCCCTGACTGTGTGTTAAGATCTAGCTAGACACAGATAACAGATGCTGTCCAATCTTAATTCTGTTGACATCCATGACAAGACTCTCATTTACTTTTATGGGAGTGGGATCCCATCCAGAGCATTATACAGCTAATGTATAATAGACTATCTCTTCAAGTAGTGTAATTATTACTGTCCCCAGTGGAGCTACATGACAATCCAAAGAAGAGTTTGAGGTATATATATGTTAGGACATTTGTCTGTCCTAAGTAACAACTCACTTGCATAATTGAAGAATATTATAACTACGGACTACCTACAGTCACCATACTGCTCAAAAAGATTTATTATTTCACGTCCTTGCGAAAGCTACCAGATTTGTCGAGCAGTTCTACACATTTTTCCTTCTGCGAATAATGGAGAATAGATTGTTGAGGAGAAGAACAGTTTCGTACGGGTGTGTGGCTTTGATATCCATGCCAGGATATCACATCTTTATTTACTACGATTTGCAAGCCAAGGGCTCTTTCAATGTTAAGACACCACCAGCTTTGTTTCTACTTTAAAAATAGAGACAGAGAGGAACGATGTAACAATGTAAACAGAAGATATTTGATTTGCATGAGGAAAAAGAGGCTGATCACAATAAATGGTGAATTCTGAAGAAATCATCTTTTATGTATTATATTAATGATCAATTTAGATTGGTTCTTGGGTTCAGTAAGTTTCTGCTACAAATATTTTAGATATTTTTCATATCTTTTCCATGACAAACTGGCAGCATTAGAAAGAGTTGCAAAACAAATATGCTTCGAAAACATAAACAATAGTTGCTGGATTATTAGCAGTCATTCTGAAATGCTAACAGAGGGAAAATGGTCATTTCACTGGCAAAACCGGCATAATAAACAGAAATTGTGTTTTATGGCTACTTGATGCCAGTAACGTTGACATCGTCTGCAGACTACAACACATATTTTGGTCCATTTTTGTTTTGTCAGCAAGGAGTCAACACTGCAGCCAATTAAATGTGAATATATAGACTGGGGAATATAAATATGTACACAACTCTTGACATTGATCTGATTTTTAACAATTTTACTAAATGACAGTCACTGGCTTGACAATACTGAATGAAAAATACTGATTTTACACAGATTTTACAGTAAGGTTATGGTATGCTGCCAACAAGCAGTGTCACAAACATAGTCTAAAATAAACCCGGAGTTGCCCACAGCAGAGGCACACACCCTTTGCTCTTGTTTATTGAGAGAGAAAGCTTATATACTGTAGATTTGCTGAAGTTTAATAAATAAGGTCAACTTATAATATATAAAACAATATAAACATTTATATGCTACATGCATATCATATAATTTAAAGTAATAATTTATATAGCAAAGAGATGCAGATTTATGTTCTTCCTATTTTCCTTGACAATGCGCACACGCAGGAGGTGTCTATCCTTATCCATCTCCAGCCTACAAGTTTATTGTTTTCTGAAGTCAGTGCTCTAACGTAAGTTTGGGACGTCTTGCATTGGGAGTTCCAGTGCTTGTCATCGATGCCGCGGCAGCCGTTTTTTACAGGCTTTGGTTTTTTTTTAAAAGTATTGCTTAACTGGAGAGTTACCTGTTTTAATTTCTCCCAGCACAGTTACCTGGTGTCCTCTAATGTCGATCGCAGACGATTTGTCCGTGACCCATAAACTTTCACTGTCACAAACGGAATATTCCCCTCGGTGGCTCTTATGCTCCGCGTACCTTTTCCGCCGAGAGGTTCTGTTCACCACCACTGAATTTCCAATATAATCCTCCATGAGGTACAGCGGCGGTGGTTCCAGCGGTGTGTTGTCACTCAAGAGGACTCGGGGAGAGTTGTAGCGTCTCTGCTGCCTTAAGAGGTCTGTATCCATTGAGATAACTGGCTGGAAGTCTGATTTCACATTTTCATCTCCATCCGTGTCTTGCCGAGTGTCTGCCTTCTGCACTGTGTTTTGATAGTTTTCCTTAATATCTACCATCTGCTTAGAAAGCTTGTTTTTCAAAATGTCAGCCTGAATGAGTTTAATAACAAGAGAATTTATTGAATCTTCTGGCAAACTCCTTTGATCCATGTTGGTAGACTGGATGCCACGAAGATAAGCGAGAAATATCACATAAAACAAGATGGACATCACCTTGTTCACCTGTAAGATCTGCAAAGAAACAGAAAGTTAACACAAAACCAATTAAATAGGGAAATTTACTAGATGCTGTAGACGTGAAAATTCAGATTTGTTTTTAACGTCTTACATCTTCTGCACGTTACAGATATAGATAGGCCATGTATTTCTTTAAAGATAATTTTTCATTATATTTTATAATGAATGCAACTGTTTTCTGACATTTTTTCCCAGTCTTTCATCTATATTTCATGCACTTTTCAGGATGACCTCTCTTCTCCTGTTTTTATGTATAGTGGCGGATATGTCAATTAGGTCCTTTCTCTACAAAGGTAGGTAGCTACTCTTGGGATAGTATGTCCAGGTCTTGACGGCAGAGAGAGGACAGTTTACTTCCACAGTGCCTATTCTACAGAGTGGCTTAGTTTCAAAATTGTGAGATTATACAGAATAGATTATCTGATGGTGTAAAATGAAGAAGTTCCAATTTTGCTAAGTATTGTTAATTTTTGTGTGTTGACATCTCATGAATCCCTCAAATTCCTATTCATCAAATGGCTTGTGTTTAACTTTATCCTAAGAGCATCATCATATACTGGGAAATAAACACTATACTTCAATAGCTCTTTGTCTCTCTTTCTCTCTCTGGTGCTATAAGGGAAAGTATTCCTGAAAGAAAAGGATGCCGTCAAGCAGCAAAATGGGGTTTCTCATATGCTGAACTTCAGAAAGCAGTAGTCAGGCTCCTGTAACACAAGTGAGAAGTTCAGATGGATCCACAGACTATTTTGCACTGGTTGTGTGCAGCATTGGGGCCTGTTTTTTTTTTGTTATTTACATTTATGTGAAGTGGAACAAAACTGATTGTAGTTAGAAATATTCAAGGACAAATGGGGGATCTCCCTGCCACTCTGAAACTGAAGAATCTTGTTCAAACAGATCAAAATGAACTCAAGATCAAGATTTTGAAAACTAGATCTAAAAGTGTGCTTCTTCTCTGTACCGTACTTTGCCTTGAGCTATTCTATATGGGTTCTTGTAGTATTTCTATAATTCTAGCTTCTGAGTATCTTCTGGAAGCTTATTTGTCATTTCTGGCTAAATCCTTCTGTCATCCTGTTTATGCAGTTGAGAACTGTGAGCATTCATCTAAGGAGGTGATTTTCCCTTGTGGATACCTGTATATTTTGTATTTGCACTTATATTTAAATGAAATTAATTTTCAATGTATAACACTAAATCATGGAAGCAAACCAACACTGTGAAGCATGTCTATTTTAATGAAATTGTTGCACAAATATATGAATTGAAGGAGAAAATATTAAACTCATGCTAGAGCACTCTCATGCCGTGTGGGAAGCCCTGGCTGTAGTACGGCTTCAAGTGACTCAAAACAGACTTGAACTTGATCCTTCTGCACTGCAAACACGTCCACTATGTGTTAGACCTCTAGCACTCTGGGGTGAAGGCACAGAGTTACAGAACACAGAACACATGGAGTTAGAAGGTTCCTCAAGAGATCATCTAGTCCAATCCCACTGCACAAAGTAAGGTCAGCTAGAGCAGCTTGCACAGGGCTGTGCCCAGCAAAGTTTTGAATATCTCCATGGATGGACACTCCACAAGCCCTCTAGGAAACCTGTTCCAGTGTTTGACTATCCTCACAGTCAAAACTAAAACCAAATAAAAAAAAAAACCACTCACCTTTCAGTATTATTTCCTATATCTCAATTTGTGCCTATTTCCTCTTGTCCTTTTTTGGGATATCCCTGAGAAGAGTCTGGCTCCATCTTTTTTTCTCCCTCCCATCAGCTATTTCTGCACTTTGATAAGATCCCCTTGAGCCTTCACTTCTCCAGGGTGAACAGCCCTTGCTCTCTCAGCCTCTCCTCATATCACAGATGCCCTAGTCCCTTAATCATCTTCATGGACTTGTTCCTCTATGTCCATGTCTCTCCTGTACTGGGAAGCCCAGAACTGGACATAGCACACCAGATGTGGCCTCACCAGTGCTGAATCGAGGGGAAGGATCCCCTCCCTCAACCTCCTTGTGACGCTCAGGGTACTCTGTGTTTTTCCCAGAAGAAATAGCAGAGAAATCAAGACTCTTAAACAGAAATTTTTCCACTTCTTCAAACCACTGTTTCATATTTAAGAAGGCAAAGAAAAAAAGAAAAACATTTTACTGGAGAATCCTCTATCCACTCTAAGCAAAACTCCTTTTAGCAACAGTGAGTCCCCACTTCATAGTTTGGAACTGCAGCAAAATCAGAGCTACCCTCTGTGGATGTGTGATCTGTCCTTTTATGGACAAGAAATGTGTTTTCTCCATTCTCAGTTTGTCACAGTATGAGTTCACCTAAATCTAGACTGTTGCTTGCAGCAATGTTATGCTTTGGGAAAAAAAAAAAATCTAAGATTTTCAGTTACCATACAATTACTGTCGTAACTAAACAAATACTAACTGAATGTAGATGGATCTCAGAGCCCAGACCGTGCTGTGTAAAAAGACCTCTTCCTGTGCAATTTGGTCTTCCCTCAGTAAATTATGTGCTTTTAAAAACAGTAAAAATATTACAAAACAGATGTCATTCAGCAGATTTCTTACAGCACTCAGAAGGGCTAACCCACATGACACATATGTCCATAGGATGGTGAGCAAAGCTCTGACAATGCTCAGCTCAAAAGCTGAAAGCATTATTCATGCCAACATGCAGCTGCATGTAATCACTGGTCTGCTTAGTTTCAAAACTAAGTGGCACCAGCAAAATACACAAGTTGGAGCAGGTGATGAGGTGGGAAAACTAAGACTGGAGTTCCTGCAGACTCTCTTTAATGTCATTCTGTGCACAAAAAGGAAGGGCTAGGGACCTCAGAATTAGAACAGTTCAAATAAAGTATTTTTCTCCTCCATGGAGGAACCCTGTTAATGGAAAAAAATGTTTAAAAGTATTTTTCTGGATCTAATTTAAAACGTCTTGTGGATTTGGTGGGAAGGGTGTCAAACTACTGTGAAATTTGACTTGTAGTTTGATTTGTACTTGGCAAATTATTCGCTATAAAAGTAAAAATGTTTCAGAACCAATCTTTAAAATTTTCTGGAATGTTTTGTGATGCAAAATTCAGAAAGAAAATGCATGAGATTACAGTTTTCAGGGAGTTCCTCCAAGACAGTTCACCTAGGAGGTTCATAAGTAGCGTGTTCAGAAACTCCAGTCCATGACTTGAAATTGTCAGGCTGCTCATGAAGTCCAGCACCTCAGTATATGCCTAAGGCACTATAAGGCACTATTATAGTTAAAGAAGTGGGCATCACTTGGGAAACTGAGGCTGGTTTATGGCCTTGGCTCTATTTTGAGTATAAGACACCTTAAAAGTGCATTGGTTTGCAAGGCTGGGCAATATCGCTTTTGATAAATGGCTCTTGGCCTGAAATGGAACTTTGTGCCTGTCCAAATTGAGGATAATCTGCAATTTGTACTTTTTTTTTGTTGTTAAACCAATACAAAGGAGAGAAAAATGTAAAACATGTAAAGCATTTTTCTGATGTTTCTGGACATGCTTCAAAAGTTACACAACGTAATTCACAAAACAGAAGAAGTGCTTACTCAGTATAGCAAGTGAGTATATAGTGAGTAAGTTATCTGTAGAGGAGACCTGCATTCAGAGGCAAGATTTCAACAGAGGTATCCTGTCTAAGAGAAGACTGACCTAATTTCCGGGCTCCTGGGGCACAGGCTTGTATGGACCTTAGCAGCAGCTACTCCAGTACAGGTATGAACAGCTCCTTTTCCAGCCTTTTGGAGAATGGCGTAAAAATACTCTGAGAATTTAGTCCTTCACATGAATTTTTCTGTTTTTTTCATTAAAAAAAATTTAAAATTATTCATTGGGGATAGAACGACAGATTTTGTTCAAGCCAAACTTTTTCTAAGTAGCTGCATATTGTGAGATACTTTTGTTGTTCTTCAAGGTTCTACTTGAAATTTTCCACATGTAAATCCATGAAAAGATTCATTTTAGCTGTCTTTGTGGACTATTTGCAGTCAAGTAAGTGTGATAAATAGTCCCAGAAATGGACACAATACTATTTACACTCCTACCTGAAGTACAAACTAGATGACTATATCTGGGGCCTGAGCCTGGGTCCCAAATAGGCAAACATTTCCTTAGTGGCCTCAGAGTAAGAGTGCAGCCCAGGAGCATGCTCCCCAGACCAGTACCATCAGAAGTAATGTTATTAGATACAAATAGATATGACCATAATCAGTGACTGCTTCCACTTCATTACTGCCTGATACCTGATTGTGCTAGGGTATTAACGCTGCTACACGAGCTCAGTTTCTGTTTCCACAGGCTATCAGGTCAGCTGTGACATGCAGCCTAGTCAACATCGAGGTGTATGACAGCACATGACTTAAGTGGGTCTTCAGTACATATTGGGTGTAACGACGCATCCATCTGAACCAGTATAATCATCTCACTGTGCAGTACCTGCTACATACCTGTCCTAGAAGCTCTATGGTTGTAGAACAGTTTGGACAGTGTGAATCCAGAAAATTGATCCAGCCCCTTCTCTGGATTCACATCAAAAGGTATCCCTTGTTGACCTGTCTGTTTATGGTGAGCTCATCATTTGATTGGAGTCTGAGTGCCTGCATGTAATGGTAGATTACTAGTCTCACTTTGTGCATGTGCCATAAAGACAGTAGGTAGCTACCCAGGGTGGGCATTAGCAATCTGACATGGTCCCATGGTTGCTGTGATATCCATACTGTTTTCTGTCTCTCTCCTCTTGTATCATCCAATTCCTTTTCTTTTCCATATATTGGGTGTTCAGTAAGGGCTGCTGACATTCCAGAAAGTTGTTTTTCCTGCATCACTGAGAAGATTTGGACCAGCTCTTCTTTTGTGCTGTGCTATTCTGTGTGACTTTCTAGATGTTGGGATGTACCTTTGATGCTTTGAATTCTTTCTAGAGGTAATTAAAATGGGGGAGGGGGGCTCACAGCTCTCAAATCAGCCTTT